AATCCTCTTGCTTCTTTTGTGGTACTGGTACTAATTTCACTTTGGGCGGCTGAAGAACTCTCATCTACCATGCCTTGAGTGCATGTCTAGAAAATTGAGACATTCAAAATGATTGCGAGTCCCTCACCCAATCCAAGGCCAGTCCTTATGAGTCCTTAAACTGCTTCGGGATGAAAGGTTGGCAAGCTGTCGAACGAAATATATCACCGGAACCCAGATTTCGCCAAGGTAACTTGTATGACTCAAGGCAGCTGATGTATTGTCTTGAACAGGGGTCGGCAAACTTATGAGAAGGCGGCGCAAGTTGGCAGCGCAGACCAGGCTCGTAGCCTGTATTTTTAGAGGCAAAGTTTCTTTGCGTGTGAATCCTTCCCCCCTCTCTAATAGTATGCTGTAGCAGCCACTTCTAGATGGTTTTAATAACTGGTCACTGGACGGCATTGTGTATATGTCCTTAAAAATAATATCACTAGATGGCGTTAGTGATTTTTGTATAGTTGACAGACAGACAGACAGACAGACAGACAGACAGACAGACAGACAGACAGACAGACAGACAGACAGACAGACAGACAGACAGACAGACAGACAGACAGACAGACAGACAGACCCTTGACCCCACTCATCATCATTCACTCCGTGGATACACTGAGAATTTGGTTGGGCTTGTTTAAGGCTTTGAAAAGCCTGTATTTTTATTATTTATCCTAGGTAAAACACACACACCCTCAATTCAATTTGTGGCGGAGGAGGGGACGTCAAGACCACCCTTTTTGGCTACGAGACTGAAGCAGACACCAACGGACGTCGGACAGCACCTTGAGAGGGGGAGGAGGGGCTTTTGAGGGAAGGAGCAAGGCTTGGGCGAATTGAGAATTTGCAATACCCCAATAAAAATAACGTTTATTCACTGCATGTTCGTCGGGAGGCTGCAAATCAAAAACGTAGGTTGCCAGAGAAAGCTTCATTAGAGGTTATCCATAGATTCTTTCCGTCCAGTCAGCCTGACTAGCTGTCTTTGTAAACTTGTGGAAAAGATGATAGACGCTAGAGTGGTGGGTGGAATGTACGAACGTGCTTCCAGAAGATATGGCACGCTTTCGTAAACGCCGCTGCACCATGGATGCCATTCCAGACATTGTAACTTATGTAGATCATGAGAGGAGCTGTGGAAGAATTGTCATTGCAGTATTTCTAGATATAAAGTGAGCATTTGACACAACCAGCCACGCTCATGTACTACACGGTTTAATTCAGTTGGGAATAGTTGGCAGAACACTAGGATGGATTGCAGAATTCTTAAGAACAGGAAAATCTTCATTGACACGGCTGACTGTAAAAATAAAGAGCATGAAGTTAGTCAAGGAGTCCCACAGGGTAGCATACTAAGCCCATTTTTATTTAATTGCATTATGGCTGAAATATCCCATATCTTACATACTAGTTTGAAATATTCTATATATGCAGACGATGTGTGCATTTGGGCATCAGACACGAGCATTCAGGCAGTTCAGCAAAAACTTCAAGATGGGCTGACAATAATCAATGACTTTTTTAAGAGTAGAGGCATAGTTTTTTCTCATGAGAAAACATATGTACTTCCATTCACAAGGAAATGCCTTAAGAAATTCAAACTTCAGATAGACTCTCAGCGCTTACAACTTGTGCGACAGCACAAATTTTTAGGGGTTATTTTAGACAGACGTCTGTTTTGGGCACAACAGATAAAATCATTAGAGGACAAAGTCAACTCTCTAATCAATATATTACGTCGACTAAACGCAGTGAGATAGGGTAGTTCATGTTCTTCTTTATTACGTGTACAGTCAGCAATAATTCGACTAAGAATAGCTTACTCTGCGCCTGTTTTACATGGGATATCACGTAACCTGGAGGAGAGGATTCAAAGATTGTTGGCCAGAAGCCTTCGTATATGTCTTGGTGTACCGCGAGCGTCTGCCAGTGCTTTAGTGATTGCGGAGTCTCGTCAACCAACTTTCCATGCTATGAGATTTACGGAAACTTGCCGGCATTATCTTCGGTTGGCAACTCAACACGCTAATCATACCATATACCGAGCTATTCAGGAAAGATCAGCTGCAAGAATACATAAAACTATAGTAGAATTCAAGAGTATACTGCCTACGCACGACTATTGGCCTCCATGTGCATCACCATGGCGACTCTCAATCCCAGATGTTACAACTTCGATTCCGGGAATAAATTGTAAGAATGATGTGCCCATAATTGTAATAAAGCAATTAACTTTAACACACATTTATATCAATTATGAAGACTATATTCACGTGTACACCGACGGATCATGTCTGAATCAAAGCTCTACGTCGGCATTCTTTGTACCTGCATACCAAGCAAGAAAAGCATTTAAACTCAGCCATTTCCAACATCCACAACAACAGAACTCTATGCAATACTCTGTGCTTTACGCTTCATATGTTTACAGCCAGCTCCACTTCGATAGGTAGTTATCAGTGACTCACAGTCCTCATTAGTTTCTTTAAAAAGAATAAGCTTGGGCAACAAAGCTAGTGAGCTCGCATATGAATTGCAGACGACGTACGCTATAGCAAAAGATTTAAACCGCGCCATAATGTTCCAGTGGGTGCCAAGCCACTGTGAAATCACAGGAAACGACATAACTGATCACATTTCACATGCAGCACATCAAGAAAATAATATATCACTGCTATCTCTATCGATGAGCGATGCAGGGTGTCTAATAAATAAGCTGAGCTGTCAACTGTCTAAGGAAACCTGGTTCGAAAATGGTGCGCAAAACTCTCTGTTGTATAACATTGATCCCGGTATAGAATTTAATATTCCGTTAAAGGTTAGCCGATCGGTAGAAACATTTATCTATAGGCTTCGACTTGGTACAGCCTACACGAAGGCTTTCCTGTATAAAAAAAGGAAAGCTGGCAGTCCTACCTGCTCATGTGTAGAATCTCAAGAAGACGTGGAGTACATTCTTCTGCATTGTAAAAATCATGACGTACCTCAAAGGAACCTTTTTCAAATACTCAATTCTCTGGATAAGCGACCTCCATCAATTGCAAAAATCTTGGGTCCATGGTCAAAAGGAAAGCTACAAGCCACTGCAGCGCGTGCAGTCGTTCACCTTCTGGAGGAATCAGAAATGGCTCAAAAGTACTAAACAAAAAAACAAATGCACTTCACTGTTACCAGCGGTATGTTTCAAAACAGTATTTTCGTGTTTCACTACAATATTTTTAGGTAAACCTTCCTGAAAACAGTTCAGTATTTAAGTGACAAAATCACCTTAGACATTTCATTGAACTTTCACGTTTTTGTGTGAACACCTAAATTGACGTGATTACTTGTGTTTTTTTTTACAAACTCAGTGTAGTGCGGACACATTTCTATGCAGTGTGGACCCATTTCTGTGTGGTGTGGACAATCAGTGTTAAAAAACGTGAACTCATTGTGTAAGTGTTGTGCTATGTACATATGTATAGCCTTGTGTTTGCTACAAAATGTGCGATGCCGACTTTTGTGCAAGAGAAGAGGAGTAGCCGGCGCCACGCATTGGCACCAACCACTCCTTACATACATTTAATTTAAAAAAAAGAGGTTAAAAACTGCCATCTCGGCCAACAGACAGGAAAGTACATGAAGAGGGCAGGGTTGGGTGTTGGGGGGTCATATCATAACCTGCCAAATTAGGCCCACTGGCTGCTGATCCTTGGTCTAGAATATGTGTCGTCAAGGGACACTAAAGATATAAACCATTTTTCTCCCATCTGTAAATTTCTATTTCACAATACCTCAATCACCCCGCTTGCCACGAGTGGACGCTTGGCAAGAGAGCAGAGGCGCAAAAACAAAAAGAGGGAGGCGACGCCAACTTGAAGTTCCAGCACCAATCACTGTGACGTCATAGTTTATAACGGGGTCCACTACCGCTTAGTCAACTCCTAATTGATGCATATTCAGAACATTATCATCTGCGAGGACCAGAGGTGTAGCGTACAAAGTTTCAGGATGTTTTGTCGAAGCAATGTCCCCCAATAATGAAAATAAATGAACTGCTTGGAATCCCTGATGCCACGTGCAGAAATCTAAGCGCGAAATTTAAAAATGGATGATTTACCTCGTTTTTTCCTTTACTGATAGACCTATGCTAGTGAGATGAACGGCAGTAGAGTATCGAGAGCAAAATTTATCGGTATAAACTACCTCATAGTTTTACTTTAGTGTCCCTTTAATTGTATTCGCTCGGTTATGTCAAACAAACGAAGTAACTTTGTTGGAAGTCTCAAAGGATGGGTATGCATTCACGTGAAGTTCCGTGGGCGTGGTGCTTGTCTTGAATATCGAACTTAAATGGATCTGGTTAGTTTAGTCACACGAGCGATGCACCATTGCTGAATGACTAACAATAAGCAGTGTGTGGGATGCGCCTACGCGGTTTTGTGGGTGCGCGGTGCTTCGGTTCTCCACGTTTCTTTTTTTTTCATATTTTTTTCCTTCCTATTCTTCACTATTACTTCTCTCTCTATTTGTTCTCTTGCGAGATTGTGAACACATCCCTCAACCAGTCGTTTAATATGCCCAGTAACTGGCCAGGAGTAAGGCGATTACTCCTACTCCACGTTCAGCCCACGCTTTTCTTGTGGCACAGCTGAAAGCCCTAATTAATTCATCAAGTCGGTGAAGGTAAAGAAAACAAGACACGGTGCCCATCGAATCAATTTACAAAGCATGGAGCTTCCGGCTTTTTCTAGTGCAGCGGCGGGAAAACGCCCCAAAACTTAGGAAAAGCACGAACGAAGGCGCGGATGAATTCTGTCCCCGACAATCGTCGTCACCGCGATGACACGGCGGCAAAGAGTTGCGGGCCAAGCGAGGGTGGCGTGCTCTGAGGCAGGTAGGAGACTCAACAGTGTGGTCGCCCTTTCCTTTTCGCTACCGAAGGACACTCTCGTATAAGGAGCGCTCAGCGGGGGACGCCCGCGCTCTCGACGCCGACTCAGAGAGCGTGTGTTGGCGTGTCCAAAGGCGTCCTCGGGTGGCCCTCGGGACAAGAGACACTCCTTCTCAGAGCCTCACTCCAGTCCACGACGAGGATTCGGCACGCAGGATTTTTTAGAACGCGCGCGGCGCTCGATCGACCAAGGGGCGACGGGCAGCGACGACTACGGCCACCATGCGGGAGAACAGGGTGAGTGCGGACTCCGGACACCGGCAATGTAGTCTCACCGTCTGAAACGCCGGCCTTACTAATGCACTCACGGGGAAGTCTTCGTGAGACCCGATTCACGTCACTACAACCGTACCGGCTTCGATAATCATTGATATTGACCCGCGAACGATTTTCTTAATGGTAACCAACGCTGGAGTTTCACGTGCCAAAACCACGACGGCATGGTTTTGATGTTTGGCGTGAAAGTATGCCGTAAATGCTAATTTTAGGGTAGAAGTACAATTCTACCACTTCCACTTCGTTTCACTTAATTTCGCATCACCTCAGAATAAAATTAGGGTCATGATAATTAGAATATGTATGGAGGGCTGGGTTGGTTCATTGTATTTTTCGTAAAAAGCATCACGTTGTATATTATGGCCGGTACAATTATAATATAATATTATTTCGTTGGATTTTACGTGCCTAGATTATGATATGATAATGAGACTTCGGAAATATCAACCACCTGAATTTTTTAACGTGCCACTGGCAGCAGACGAGCGGCTAGCGTTTCACCTCCATCAAAATTTGACTGGTGCAGCTCATATCGAAACTGGCCCATTCAGTTAAGTGGACGAAAACACGAAGCACTGTACCACTAAGGCAAACAATATTTTGTCGTTTTGTATTTTTTTAGAAATATAAATTTTTTTCACGATTCGCAAGTGCGCTTCTCTACATTGCATGTTTGCCCATGTTGCGGCAACACCTTTCGGGCTTCAAGCGCAGACGCAGTCCTAGTTTAACGTGCTGGCGCTTGTCTATCATGGGTGTCTATACCAAAAGAGCCGACCCGACATTTTCCACGTCATTGCGTGAGAAAGCCGCGCTTGAACAGGCTATTCGCAGTAAGTGACTAGCCGCCATTGGTTGTTCAAACTGCATAGCAGGAAAGCTAACTTTACAATTTTGAAAATGGTCTATTGATCCCAAGTCCTGACTGGTCTATTCTAGGTACTGCAATGAACGTAAGATATTGCTAAGGGCACGAGTTTAGATTTACACAGTTTAAGAGGGGGATTTTGTGATCTGAAATGACAAGCGGCTGTCGTAACGCTGACTTAGCCGCAAACACGCTGGCGAACCAGTGATGCCCCGTACTACGCCGAAGAATTCCCGTTCAGAGACACGAAAATTGCCTATTTCACGAATTTTTTCCTGCAAATGTTGACAAAATTTTCTGAATATTTACCTGCTCAATAGTACTAATTTCCGCCCCCATCCACGCACACACTTAGTATAATTACACGTGTCTCGCGTACTGGCAACTTTCTAAATCATGGATTGCCTCTCCACTGCCGCACAACAAAATCATGATTTTATTTATTCGTTTACTGTTATTACACTGCACATTGTGGTGTTCAAGACTAACACCAATAATGAAGTATAAATCTCTCGGCGTGAATGTCAGACAAAAATCTCAAAGGCCATGCTTGCGTGGTGCATGCCCCATAACCGATTACAGCACATGAAGGCGCACTATGGCCGCTAATTATCGGTCGTCACGGGAGAATTTAACCATTCCTGGATTTCCCTGTAATATCCCGAAGATTTTCTTTCTCCCTTTGGCTCAAGAAGTAAAAATTTACTGCAAAGAGCATTACTGCGGCAAACGAGTTAAATAGTTTACGCGCGTCATTGATTACAATTATGCGTTCATAGTTATATCGTTTGATACTGATAAATCATTTGTTTAGCATTAGCGTTTGACAGAATTTACACTCAATATTATCTGGGTTTATAGGGCATTTTTTTAGCATCGGCGTTCTAAAGAATCGGCACTCAATAATACCTGGGATATTGCGTCCCGATACCAAGATAAGATTATGATAGATGTCGTACTGGAGAGCTTCTAAAAATTTGACCATCTTGTGTTCTTTAACGTGCACTAGCATCGCACTGTACATGGGCTCCTGCCATTTTGCCTCCACTAAAATGCAAAGACCGGTATTGAACCCGCGACCTTCCAGTGAGCGGCCGAGCACCTTAGCCACTGTTCCACCACGGCAGGCACGCGTACCACTCGTGCTACGACACTTAGTCATCTTTTGTGGTCCGATCAGGATGCTACTTGCTCGTTCCTGAGGAACTCCCTTTTTTTTTCTGTATACCATGCACACGCTGAGAACCTCATGCATAACGTGACTTTCGGTCTAGTATGGCGAACCAACCGATCTTTCAAGACAGCTTCATTAACGTGCCTACAACTATATTCCGAGGCAGTACGGATCCAAGCGAATGAGCGTCGAGGTGGCAGGATTTGACTCCCCAGTTTTGAATTGAATGAATATTCTCACTCACAGAGTGAATGAAAGTCCTGTTGTTGCTACGGACAGCACCCCATCAAGAGATACCTCAGATAAATAGTGAATCCGCCTAGACTGATAAACTATTGTCGCAAAACGTGACATTGTTGATTTCACCATCATAGATTTATAATAAAAAAGAAGATTACGATCAAAGTTTTATTTCGAAACTTCACACCGACATCTTCACATGAGTCGTCACGAAGGCCAGTCTTTCATAGTATCCTTGCGAAATTTGTTCGAATAAATTTCCCTAAATGTTATGTGAATTTCCTCGCGCACTCAGAAGGCAATATGCTTGATGTCTAGTTATTATAAAATATATAGGCGCTAGTAGATGCCGTCGAATCTAGGACGTCACGGCAGTTGGTGCAGGAATTTAAAGGTGCGGTCGACACCCTCCTTTTCTTTCAGTACGTTTCCTCACTTGGCAAGCGTGCTTTCGCGGTAAACGTAATGATTAAGGTACGGGGCGGGTAATTTGCTAATACACGAGAGATCGTTTCTCTCGTTAGTGTCCCTTTAATTATCACGTGGGTGAAAACGACGTTATTTACTTTACATATATATCCCTCTATGTTTTTACCTGCGTGAGAATCTTTATTCTCTCCGCAGCAAGATATGCTCCCTTCATATTAAATATTTAACTTCAATTACCGCCTAAATGTGCGAGCAATGTCCATACAATGATTACGACACACAAAAAGGCCTTCGCTGTGACCGAAGTATGCGGCTTCCATTACATCCTATAAAACGTGGTAGTACTTTCATAATATAGCAGTGTGTGTAGCCAGAGAGCGTAGTGGGTTAAAACCACCAATGAGCCTTTCTACAACCCGTGTGCTCAGATTCGGGTGCACGTTAAAGAACCCCAGGTGGTAGAAATTTCCGGAGCCCTCCACTACGGCGTCTCTCATAATCATATGGTGGTTTTCGGACGTTAAACCCCACATATCAATCGAGCCTTTCTACAACCGCCCACTCCCCGCGAACGTTTCTTGTCTTGCGTTTGTATATATATATACACGCACACATATAAAAGAACACGCACTAACTTGCCAGTAATTCCTGAAAATGGTGACGTGTAACCGGTGTAGTCACCAGTCAAATGGAGGCATATTGTTCGAGCCGGAGGTTCAGGGTAGTCGAAGCTAGACGCCCGCGATTCGCTCCGCTGCCAGGACTGTACCGAAATGGTTCAACAATCGGGAGCAAGTCAGATACGACACAACCTGCAACATGACTACCCAGAAGAATTTTGTGGATTTTCATGAGTAGTTTGTTTTGTAGTTGAACTGTCAAACTGGCTTCAGCGTGCACATTACAATACTTGCTGCTACAATTTTCTCGTTTTGGGTGAAATCACCGATTCGGGAAAGATGAGTGACCAGAACTAGATATACATGCACATGAATTTACTAAATATTTATAGATAAAAATACTATGTAAAAAAAGAGGCGATAAGGTAACTTGCCCTTCTTCACGAAACTTCGACAAAGTTATTATTGGTAGAGAAAATAAGGTTAAGTGACAGGCAGGGAGGTTAACCAGAAGAAAATATCCGGTTTGCTTCCATGCACTGAGGAAAGAGAAATGCCAATCCCGATGCAGGACAAATCATTAACCAACCGACTAACCAACTTACGAAATAAAAGTTTCGTCAATTCGGTGCCACATCTAAGACCGTGCTCTACTGCTGACAATCCGTAGCATTTTCAAGCGTAAATCATTTAGTGTGCGGTTAACAAAATTTCCGAGAGCGGCCATTGTTACGGCTTTCCTTGCCTAACCGTCACCTTCCTTTACGTCCCACTACGGGCAGGCCCATCTTACTAATCTTTATGAATTATTCCGCTTGGTCATAACTCTTCCCTGTGCCTATAACTTTTCCTAATTTCCTCCAGTCAACTAATCTTTAGCTGTGGCTGTCTGGCATTCAGCTGTGAAATTCGCCCTTTCAGACGCAATCCAACAATAACGGAGGATAATTTCAGGTCACCATCAACACTGCTCGTATGGGCATCGCATTTTCACATGACCAAAATACAGCAAAATGTGGCAACTTAGCCAAAAGCAAGTACAGCAAGAACGAATGGATGACATACCAACGTGACCATAGAAGTGACGTGCCGACGAATATCAGTATCTGTATCGGGCCTGCAGTGTTTACGATGCGGCTTCAAGTAGTAACTTGTACTCATCTTACTATTACGACCATGTCGTTTTGTCAATGCAATATATCAGCGCCTCTACATAGCCAAACCAAGCAAATAAAAGGTTCAAGCGACGATGTTATACGTTACTAAACATAACCAAATATTCCTAATGGCTCTGGTAAACACGTACGACGTCATTAAAAAGCCTCGGAAACTTTCTCTTGGATATCTCATCTCTTCCTACATACAAACAAAGCATGCTGCCACATTATCCGCCTTCGCCGATTGCATCACCAATCTTGGTCTATTTCGTCATCCAATCGCTGACACTTTCTCAGTTGCCTTGGCGCGCTCTTGAATATGGCGCTAAGATCACGCGTCTACGTGGCAGGCATCACGATTTCGTCGATTACGTGACACAAACAGCGACGCAATGCACATTCGACGGTCACGAATAGGAGCCTCGGCGTGCCCTAGTATCGCTAGACACGACAAGTGCAGAGTGCGGATTCGC